AAATAGGCAGGATCAGCCCCCCTGAGCCCTTCCTGCTTTACAAGGCTTCTGCCGGCGCCTCTCCTGGCAGCGGATACGGCCCCTCGCTGCATGGTGGCCGGTGGAGGGCCGTCGGGGTGCAAGGCCCCCGTGCCCCTGCAGAAAGGGGAGACGCTGCCAGCCCAGACCCGAGGCAGGTGCTGTTGGAAGAGGAGCATGAGCTGCACACCGCAGGCCCCAGGATTTCAGGGCTCCTTCCTCGTGGAGTTTCTGACGAGTCCACCTGGATGATGCTGGGATACAACGGGCTGCAGGTGCAGGGTACCTTCTAGGGTACATCGTTCCGAATCCCCTTGGGACTAAGTCTGCTCTGCTACCTGAGCTGCAGGAAGGGTGATGGGAGTAAAAGGAACTTGGCTTGTTTGCTCAGGGTGCTGAGGAGCCCACTGCTCACGCAGCAGGAGGAGGGAGGGAATGGGTGTTACGGTGGATGAACTTAACGGCTTCACACGCAGCCAGATTCACAACCCAGAGTATTGCCTGGGCAGCAGAAAGGGTAGCTAGACACTAAAATTGTACTTCATGAATACGGGGGAAATGTGTTCTAAGATGAAAATAATACCTACAACGACCACATCAGGGGACTGCTAAGCCTATTTCAGTTTGGAATCTAAACCCTAGCTTATCCCGTACTGAGCCTTCATCTACATGTCTCTACCAACTCTCTCTGTTTGTTTATACTTATCCAAGTACACATCTGTCACTGTCACAGGATAGAAGCTTCTCTAAGGTCAGAGCAATGTTTATTCCATCTGTGCCTAACGGAGTGTTTTTCTTGTATTAAAATCATTAATAAATATTTTAAAATTAACCAGACTTCTGGTCACCTAGGAAACTAAGCTAAAAGACTTTCCCTAAACATTTTACCTGCAAAGATTCTTACCACTTTAAGAACAAGGATCAATTCCTGTTGGAAAATGTTCCTTTTCCAGGGGCAGCCTGTGGCGTTGCAGATTAAGTATGCAAGGAAAGGAAAATAGATCTCTAACTTAAAATCTTTTGAAGTGCCTTTTAAAACTCCTACTATAGTTTCCACAACAGCTGTTAAGTTCCTTTGTAGTTTCCAGTAGGAAAGGTCTTTTGAGAATATCTCTGCATCTCACTCACAAACTTCAACAACTGCCTTAAGCAGCCATGTCTGCTCTGGAAACTTAGCCACAAAGAATTCTGGATTCCCTGGTCCCTAACAGAAGGTTTCTATTTTACTTCTGAAGGTATTTCAGAGGGGCTGGTTTCAATCTACAAAGCTCTATTGTCTAGGTAAAAATTCCTTTAGAGGTCTCTGCTTTCCTTTGCACACTTTTCATGGTAATTAAGACACTGGGCTGTGTTACTGCTTATGATGCAAAGATCTGAATTTCAGGAAATATGAAATTTGGTCTCAAAGGAGATAGTATTCTCTCAAATCCTCTTATTAATTCACATCAGATTAAGCAAGCACAATTCTGAATAACATCCAACCTGTCTTTTTTGGGGGACAGAAAAGAGAACTAGGTAGGTTAGTGAAATTTTCTCATGAAATTCAGAGCAAAAAATACAAATAGATTTGGATAATGATGCTAAAGAATTGGTAGAGGGAGAAGTATGAATAACAGTACACAATGAGGCTTAGCTGAGAAAGGAGAGTACATGCTAATCTACCAATTAAAAGAGTAACAGAATGAAGATGATTAAATTGGGGAAACAGATCACTCCTAACAGAAAATACTCATTTATTTATTCAGACACTTTTTATTGGCTGTCTGCTGTGCCACACCCCATATGAGATGCGACGGGTGGCCGCCAACTTATATAAGGCATTGATCCTGTCCCCAACGGTACCCTGAGGGTTGGCCCTGAACCAAGTTGTGACATATATAGTACATTTATCTTCAGTTTTCCTACTCTTCTTTTTTGCAAACTTCACTCCACCCCTTCCCTTCCCTGTGGTTAGTTTTCTAATTCTAGGCACCAGATTTTAAAAAGTTATTCTAGGAAATACATATAGTCAGTGTAGTTACATCTCAGTGGGAATTCAGGTCAATGTGTCTTCTCCCAGTAGTACTTATATTTTAAGTGCTATCTGTTTCCGTTGAAATGCTTGACTGGCTTTAGTAAAACAAATCAAAAGAAGGAGGAGATGAATTCACCAACAGAAGGTGACAATAAAGAACGCTTTCTGTTGCCCCACAGGTAAAGCTATCCCACATTTTATGATTGTTAAGAACTTGCATGGCTAGTTTAACTGTAAGTTTGAAATAACTTCAGTTATAGTCAAAAAGAAAGCCTTGAGTTGGATCCAATACTCCTGGGATTTACATCATGGAACAGTAAAGGAATATTCTCTCTGCAATCTGCTTCTCCAAAGACTGTAGTTGAACTGTTCAGAGTATTATTTGTTAACAGAAGTAAGTTGATATAGTTGAGAGGGTCCAGAGCAAGGTGCCGAAATGATCAAAGGAATGACGTGTGCATTAAGATCAAAAGACCTGGAAGTGTGTAGATCGGCCAAGTAATGGTGGAGAGGGGATCCCTGGGTACTTGATAAGAGTCTACAAATATTTAAAAGGTGTTAACACCAAAGGAGGAAGTCCTTATTTTGCCTGCTTGGAGGTGACATAATGTTAAACAGTAAAGGTAAAACTGAAGAAAGAATAATGTACCCAGAATATCAGGAAATATTTCCAACGAATAACAACTAAGGTTTTCACAAAATTAGACAATGTGAAGATCCACTGTGCCCACAGCAGAAACTAACCCTGAACAACTTGCCTTGTTTGTGAATCATTGCATCTTACTGTCTTCCCTGCCTTTCTTACCCATCATTTAATCCTTCTAACCCACCTTCTTCTACCCGTTGCCAAATTCTTTCATATCCTTACAGGTCCCAGTGATGGCATTGCACCTACTCTTTACAGAATAGTTCATGTAGCAAAGTCATAGAAGTATGTGTGTAGGAAAGCATGTGATGAGTTACCATCTCCATAGGTGTTCCATGTGTGGCATCTTTGTGAATCAAGGAACACACAGCATTAAGAAGCACAGAACTGTAAGAACCAGAAGTGAGCTCGAGGTAACCACTCTCATCAGACAGGCTGAGTGGACTTCCCCAAAATGCACAAGCCTGATGCCTGAGCAGAGTCTGAAACCAGGTCTTCACCACACTGGACTTAGTCCAGTCCCATCCTAATGGCAATACCTTTTGCTTTAAAAAAAAATGCAATCCTCTCTGACTGTATAATGATCTCAATTTTTCTTAAAGCTATGATTAGCCAAATTTACGATTTTTTTCTTCTTTGGCAGATTTCCAGATTGTCACACTTTTGTTACTGCCTTGACTCAATGTATTTAAAACTGCAAATCGGACTCATTAACACACCAGCTCTCATCCTGATGGGGAAATGATGTCAGAGCACAGGCTCCCTGCAGGCAAAGCCACTCCCTGTCTTGCACACACTGAGGTGTTTCAGATGCATGGGGAGGCCCTGCCCTCAAACACAAGTGACCGCCCTGCTCAGCGCTTCTCGGCTAAGACCAAGCTTCACAGGGCCATGCCGAAGTGTGAACTAGGAAGACTGTAAGCTGCCAGCACCCGTTAGAGCATTCTCACCACAGTCTGGGACAATCTTAGTAAAGGAAGTATTTTACTGAACATTGGGACTATGGTTATTTCTTTTCATCTAAAAGTTCACCAGTAACAGGATGATTGTGGTGTGAGTTGCACTGTGCGGTAACAAATGGTATGTTTCACCCCTAGTCTCATGCTACCAATCTGGTTCTCAGCACTGATCTAAGACTCAGGGACGCTGAGCATGAACACCAACCTGCCTTCAAAGTGTGCAGGGTCTGATATGCAAAGTACAACCAGAAAGCAATCTATAAGACTGTGTGGTAGGAGCTCTGATGATAGCAAGGGCTACGGTGGGAATTCCAGAGGCAGAGAAGAGGCCCCCAAGCCTGGTGCCATTAGAGAAGGTTTTTTCAGTTGTTAAGCATCCCTCCATGTTCTATTTCTTTCTATACGTACACAAAAATAGAATATTCACATGGAGAGTCGTCAATGGGTTTATATCATAAGATTGTTTTGCAACTTGCTTTTAAAAAATATCATAGACGTCTTCCATACATAGCTACCTAATTTTTCAAATAGCTAGAAAGTATGTATTCCCATCATGTGTTTACCTGTTGCTCTGTTTGTGCTTGATTGGGCTGTTTCTAATTTTCACTGATCGCCAACATAATCCGGATGACACGTCCCCTCATTGTGGCCCATGGGGGTAGTGTCACTCTAGGGCTGGGGTGGGCTGAGAAGGCCGTCCTCACAGCCCCTGAGGAGGGTTCTCTGCCCGCCGACGTGCCTCTCCGCTGGTGGTCCGCAGAAGGATGCCTGGTGCTTTTCAGAAGGCCGTGGATGAAGGGCCCCACTCTTCCCAAAAGTCAGGATGATTTCACATATTTTTTCAGATCAAATACACATTTACTTGCAAGGGCCCTGTAAGTAGCTCTTCCCCTGGAGGACTAAGTGAGCTGAATATCCTAACATGGTTCAGATCCGTGGGCAGCACAAGGAAGAAGTTGAGGGAGGTGGTCACGACTTGCTCACGGAATTCCCGCTGCTATTCCACCCAAGGGGGGCAACGTGTCTCTGTTTAGTCCTTTGGAGGACATTCCAGGTGGGCATTCCCTGATTCCCTAGGTCTCCCTGCACCTCCCGCTCGTCCTGAACCCTGACATTAAGTCCTATGCTCACAGTCCCCACCCCTTAGGAAAGTGCACACACCCTGGAGGTGTCAGAGGAGGCCTCCACTGAACTGAGTGGACTCTCTCTCTCTCTCTCTCTCTCTATTATGTTCTCCTCCCTGGAAAGCTACCCACACTTTCATCCCGTGGAGGAAAGATGGACAGAAATGGACGTCCCTTGGCGTCTCTCACTGGCTGACGCTGATCAATCTCCTGAGTACCTGAAGGAAACAAAACTCACCACTAACCTGCTCGGGGAATTTGTGATCAAGCCTCTTTCCACTATTACTTTGACTTAGACCCTATTCCTCAGAAAATAATGACCTTGGATGAGCTACATCAAAGGCGCGTCACCCCTCTCCTGGCCTGATCACTGTTCCTAAGTCTGCACGTGAACGGAGATTGCCTCTGCGTGAGCCATCAGGGCAAACGGCACCAAGAGCAATAATTTTTTCTCTGATCTCCAAGTTTCTCCAGAGAGAGTAGAGGCAAAGCTATCATTTCAGCTGCCACAGAAATAATGTTGAAATGCACAGCCTTGCTAATGACCCTGGCGCACATGTAGGGCACAGTCCCAGAACTAGAACGAACAAGCACAGCCATGTTGTCTAGTACAAATGCATAAGGCCGCCATCAGTGCATGAAAGACTCCCTTTTCCCCGTGCTTCCCCAGGTTTTTACAGGCGAAGGAGCAATTCTAAGGATGGGACAGAATTAGGCAGGAAGGAAATCAAGACCAGGAGGAACAGGGAGGCGGGGAATGACCTGATGCCGTGTCTCTTCCTCGAAGGGCACCAATCTCATCCTGAGGCCTCCACCCTCATGACCTGATCACCTCCGGAGGCCCCAGCCCCCAAGACCATCACACTGGGGATTAGGGATTCAGCGGATGAACTTGGGGTGGGGGACACAGTCCGTAAGTCATGCCATTTCCTTTTTACCCACAGCATGGAGATCGGGCCTCCTTCTAAGACTGTGTGATCTCAGCCTCTCAGCCTCCAGGACTGTGGGAAATAAATGTTTGTTGTTAAGTCATTCCATCCATGGTAATTTGTTATGACAGCCTGAGCTGACTAAGGTGCAGGATCCATGGGAAGTTTTAGATCATCCCTTCTGATGACAACAAGGAAAATGGACTTAGGGGGTTAGGCTTAGAGGCATGGTGAAGGGAAATGCTTATCTTTTCTCTCTTGAGAAAGGTGATGAGCTAGCACACTTCTGAACTGAAATTGGAGGATTTATCCCAATGTAAAAACTTATGCTTCACTGTCACATGTAAAGAAATTATGTATACCTTAAAAACAGTTATCCTAAAAATATTAACACTGTGATGAGAATGCATTAACGGGTGCTGGCAGCATACAAATACTGGACACCCTTTAGGGTGTAAGCTCAGTGGTCTAGTTACCTCTGAAAGTGACTTGCTAGGTTAATATTGCTATTAAAAGCAAGGATTCTCTAATCCAGAGAAGACAGCCTTTCTTAATCATGACACAAAATCCAGAAATCAGGGGAAAAGAAGATGTCAAGTGCACAATGGCAGATCCTGGGGGAAGGGATAGAAAATGAAATTTGAAATGAGGACAGAAAGAAAGATACATAAAATAAAATAAAATACAATACAGGAAAACAAAGCAGAGAAAAATAAAATAAAAAATTAGAAGACTGTATGCCAATAATAGTATGCCACAGGCTAAAAATAATCAATTTGATTGATTATGTTATATGAAGATAGAAGCAGATTTAAAATGCAAGTAAAAGACTTGGAGACAGTTTTGCCACATATATAATAGATGAATTATTTATAATATAAAATAATTGTTTCAAATCAGAACATGTTAAATAATAGAAAAAGATTGGTTCACAGAGTGGAAATGCAAATCATCAATAAATATGTGAAAACTGCCTAACTTCTCTGGTAATCTAATAAGAAATGCAAGTTAAAACAATGAGAGAATATTTTTCACCTATCTAATTGACAAAAAAAAAAAAAGGAAAATACTGATAAAATTCAATACAAAGCAAAGGTGAAGTTTGGAGAAAACACAGCCTTTTTGAGAGTAACATGGTGCTCTTTTTAATATATATATCATTTGACCTAGCAATTTTCTAGCAATCTTTCCTAAAGAAATACAAGCACATGCTGGCAAAGATATTAACTATGTTATTGTTTACAATAAGAAAATAACTGGAAATAACAACATCCACTAATAAGGGAATATCATGTTTGCATTCTGATACGTTTAGTGTGTAAAAGTAGATTTTAAAACAAGACATTAGTATGTAGCATAGTCAACTTTTTGTTTAAAAAAACTGTGTGTTTGTATAGTGTGCATGGTGTGATATGTGGGGTTTGAGGTGTGTGTGTGTGTGCGGTGCATGCACGGTGTGTATACTGTGATGCATATACAGCATTGTGTGTGTGGTGCTTGTGCAGTGTGTATGGTGTGTGTGCATAGTGTGTGTGTATAAGCTGTGTGTGTACCTGCAGAGACACACAGTTGGGAGGTTTCCTGTCACTCTGTCGACAGGGCTGGTCCTGGGTAACGGGACTGGAATGGAAGGAAGGGGAGGTCATTCTCACTGTGCCCATTTCAGTGTCCTTTGAGTTCCTATTAGCAACTCCTGCGCTAATGTTATGATCTCTGAGTCATGTCTCTCTTTTCATGCTAGACCTTTAGAGAGGAAATGGTGCAATTTCTATTTGAATTCCAACACAAGCGACCTTTTCCTTGTGAACCTCATTTGAAGACAGCATCTTATTTTGCAATCTCTCCCGCCCGCCCCCCCCCCCAACCCCGGCCCCATGGCGGAAGCATTCCCAATAAAGGGAGTGATTGTCAGAGACATTCATTTCATAAAGTTTTGCATGTAGATATAGTTGTGAGATAAAGCAGCCACAACGCATTTCCTGTATTAAATACCACACAGAAGTAGCACTTAAGATACCAACCATAAGGTTAAATAAACAGGAGGGGAAGAACAACCCTGGCAGAAGCCCGTGTGTTCACCACCTTCTCTTCAGAATTTGGCAGTAATGAAAAAGGCAGCTGCCAGGAGAGGCAGCAACGGAAATGGCCGAGCTACGTTCATGTCCTCACACTGAGAGACTGCCTGTCCAGAGGCGCTCACACACTGTTGGCAAGGGTTACCTCTCGGGGGAGGACAAGGCTTCTTCATCCTGCTTTCATTATTTAAATCCACGTAACTTCTTAAAAAGATGAATCAATTAAAATGATGGGTGATATGAGTGGCTTTCTTACTTGGTGTTTCTGTACTACTATAAGCAGCTTTTGTGATCAGAAGAAAATCCCAATACTTGAAATTTAACATTTTAACATCAAGGCAGGACCCAGAAGTCTCTTGTCCGGGGTTCCTGTGGCCCAAGAAACCTAAGTTAATTTACGGAAGCTCTTAATGCTTAAGTTGGCAGGGTTCCCTACTTGTGAAAACTGAAATAGCATTTTACAAAGACATTTAATTAACAGAAAACAATAGCGAAATAGTGTGATCTTGTAAAAGAGCACAGCTTAGAGTCATATACTCCTTAGGTTGACTTTAGTCATGTGACCTTGTGAAGTGGCATAGCTTTTCTGACCCTTAGTCTCCTGGCCTATGAACTGGGAAAGTTGCTTATGAAACTAATACCCAGGAGCTATTGTTAATAACTGCAGAATGCACATGCAAACAGTCCACCACGTTCCCAACCTCTCCGGGACCCCAGATGAGCCGTCAGATCATGGAGGCATTCAAGGGGCCGCTGGGCACATTCCTGCCTCTAACCATAGAGCCTCTCCTGTCAGTGTCCCATGTGCACACTGCCCCAGGGTCCTTCACTTTTGACCCCTCTCCTGACTTTGCCAGTTGGACTTCCTCCTTTTTACCAGCTGAGGTCTTTGCTTTTCACCCATGTTGTGGGCAGTCCTTTGAGATGACACTCTTAGTCTTAACACAAGAAGTTCTGCTCCT